ATACCTTCCAATACCCATTCCAAACAACCAGTATACCATCATGCCCACCATACATTATCAATATTACTCTCACAACTTTTTCTCAGTGACAAGTTTTCTCCCCCTTGCTTAGCCCGGCTAAGTGAGGGGGAGAATGGATGTGGGCGGTAGGCCCCGGGGAAGTCTCTTCCCAGGGACCTGTGGAGTCCTAGGACTACCCTACGATGAGACGGGAGAGTTCCCCTTGAGTGGTCTCTCTCTTCGAGAGACTTACCTCAGGGGAGCCTTCCTGAAAGTAGGAGTCTCTGAGTAGTCCTATATGTGTCACTAGAAAGAAAATTAGGAAGGAAGAGAAGAGGAATGTTAGAAAAAGGGTGGGTGGACAGTCAGAAAAAAGTTAGGTCTAGCTCTTTAACTAAGAAGTATAAGATCTAACACTAGTAGGAGTAGATTTGATAATAGTGATGAAGGAAAATTAGTGTAATCTAATAATCGATTATTATATAGGAAAAGAATAGAATAAATGGAAAGGCTAGCTGAACGAGGGAAGGTTAGCTATAAGGCAGTGTAGGACCTTATTATAAAAGAAGACAGAAGTGACAGTAAACAATGATCAAGGCCAAGACAACGGTCGACAATTATATCCTAGTAATAATGTAAAGAAAAATATCGAATGCTGGGACAAACCAAAAGGAGCGGAGGGTATATTATATACCGTGTCTCACTTGGGTGTGGAATCTTATGAGGTCGTGAACAATTTACTCCCTTGACTATTTTGTCATTAATCTTATTCTGGATTGGGGTTCATAACGACTCCTTAGGGTTTGCCCGCTTCTATGACGTATTACTCTTAAAGTCATACCTCGTTAAGCGCGCGCTTCTTATTTTCATGGACCAGTCTCCCAATTCGTGCCTCTCGAGAGAAGCAATCCATTATCAATATTACTCTCACAACTTTTTCTCAGTGACAAGTTTTCTCCCCCTTGCTTAGCCCGGCTAAGTGAGGGGGAGAATGGATGTGGGCGGTAGGCCCCGGGGAAGTCTCTTCCCAGGGACCTGTGGAGTCCTAGGACTACCCTACGATGAGACGGGAGAGTTCCCCTTGAGTGGTCTCTCTCTTTGAGAGACTTACCGCAGGGGAGCCTTCCTGAAAGTAGGAGTCTCTGAATCAATGATGGGTCTTCTGTGGGTTGAGGGGAAGCCTAGATCCCCATCCTCAGGTGACAGGCCTGAGCCTAGATAGGCTTCTCCCATCCCTGTCGCCTACGCATCCATATCATGTGAGACGTGTGTCGGTCAGAAACAAGAAGTTATATTAACAAGGCATATACAAGAGGAAAGAGATAAGTACACAGTTTCGGCTAAGGCAAAGGAAGATATTTAAGTGGAGGAGCATAGCGTCTGAAAAGGTCAGTCAAAGACTGGGACGATATCCTTGGTTATGTCTAAGATTTGTTTTGCGGAGGTCCAATCCTGGTCGTTCCATTCCCTTTGGTACAATGAATGGCAGGCTGACTTCCATCGTCCAAGAGTCTTTATTGCTTCGGTACAAACCCCGGCTTTAGTGAGGAGTGTCGCTCCGCCAATCCTGAAGGAGTGACCCGTCATACATGAAGAAGAACCCCAGGGCCGTTCCATAGCGCGTTGAACCATCGAGCGTGTGATGGCCGTGGTGCCATTAGCTGTCCAGGTCATGAATAATCGGGGATCTTTTACACGTTGCAGGCAGGCTAAAAGACGTTCTAGCGCTGCCACCGGACATAAGACTCCCCCGGTTTCCCTGAGAACAAGGAGTTGAGTTTCGCCGGGTTCAGCCGTCTTTGCCTCTTGTAGTGAGATCTCTGCTACCTTCCTGCCGTTTACTGATAAAAGGGTGACGTCTGAATTTAGGATGGCGCCGTGATTGTGCCTGTTGTAGGAGGTCGACGCATAAACTAACTCCCCAAGGCGAGCTAGCCCCCAATAGGCGACTAGCACCAAAGCTGTAAGGCCTTTGGAGTCGACTTCTATCTCTGCCAGGTTGGTGACGAGAGCTAGGAGGGCTTTCGGTGTTATGGGTTGTCTGTTCTTCTTATTGGACGGGGCTCTAGCTTCTAAATTTTGGGTTGCTCGGAGGATGGTTTTTAGTCGAGTTAGGTCGATGTTTGGAAAATTGAAGCCGTGAAAGGCATGCCAGGTTCTCAAAGCTGTGAGATACTTCCTGATAGTTGTCACTTTCACAGGTTTGTTGGTGGCTCGTTGGTTGAAGTTGTGTCCGGCCCAAACAATGAAGCGTTCAATTGTGTCTTTGGACGCCGGGAACGGGGTGAGGTGCTTAGCTGATGCAAAAAGCTTGAATTTCTTGACGCCAGACGCGTAAGACTCTATCGTACTCCTACTCCAACCTGCTCTAATCATGTGCCGTTGGGCACAAGTCAAACCCTTCTTGATGTTGTTGTCTATCCTCAGGAAGCTCTTGATATCTTTCATGACGCTGATAGGCTAGTCCGAGCAACCCGTGGTAAGTTTATCAGTTCTCTGCCCACTGCTCAATCTCGTGTTGGAGTGAGTGATAGACTTACGTCTACTTATTGGAGTGTGGTCTTACCAGGATACTAGAGCGAGGTGGGGGGGGAAACCTTGGTCGCGGAAGGAGTGAAATCGGGTTATGAACAAAGGAATCGAGTAGGGTTGTCGAAGCTAGCGGGTATGACTATGTGAACGTGTGGTGAAGTAGGTAAAAGAGGTGGAGGATTGCTGTCTAATTGGGAAGAAGAGAGGATAGCCGGTAAAGAATGTATGGAGGGTATGCAAGAGGAGTCAAGGTTATAAACTGCTGGCCGAAGGAGGCAGGAGAGGATCTTCCACATCTCTCAGCCACGGGGATAAGTCGTCTGGGACTGTGATATGAATTTGTCTGTACCAAGGTTTGGAGGTTGAGAGGCCCCTTGACAACTGATCTGCTGCGTTGTCAAGAGTTGTCACCCTCTTTTGCTCCAATTGGCAATCATTTTGAAATAGTAAATCTGAGATTCGTTTCCACTCCTCGTTCACCCAAAAATCACGGGATGATTTGTTCCGCAGAAATCCTTCTGTTGTAGTGTTTTCAGTTAATACTAAGTATCTTTCACCTTCCAGTTTACGTAGTTTCTGGACCACTAACAAACCAAGGCGGACGGTGACTGTCTCGAGCCAGGCTATCCCTCGTGTTGGTTCTCCAAGCCGTAGATCCCAGCCTGGGCAGAGTTGAAACTGCGCCCAGTCCTTGCCAACGATTATACCTATACCAAAGCTGGTGGACGCGTCTCCCACCCAGCCGATGTTGTTGATGGTCCTGGGTTTTAATAACATCCGGTTGGGGAAGTTGTGTAGAGCTTTCAGCCAAACTGCGAGGTCGCCTCTCGTGTTTGGTGGCATTGTCCGTTTTGCCTTGTGCTTTACCCATTCTCGCTTCCATCTATAACCGCTCATCAGGTAACATCTCAGCTGAGGGGCTATATAGGAAACATGACTCAGTCGGCCGTACATCTTGTCAACTTCTTTGTAAGTGTAATACACTTTGGCTAAGAAATCTTACAATTGCTCAACTCGTTGTTCTAGCTTCTTGGGTGGGAGGCATACTGTCTTCTTTTTGGTGTTCCAAAGGAAACCGATATATTTTTGCTCATTGCTGAAGTGAGTGAATTTTGTATCGTTGGTTTTCACCCCCAGGCTGGTGCTGTAGGATACGATGTTGTTCATAGATACTGTGTATCGTTTCTCTTTAATGACGAGGTTGTCATCGACCCCCCGAAATACCTTGTTGAGGTTGAACTCCAATTCGACTAACTCTTTCCATGCGTCAGCAGGGCCGCCAAAACTGCCGCAACCCGCTACGCCTCCGAAGGATATGCATAAGTATATGTAAAGGCGACCTTTGAAATCTTAAGAAGTAGATATGGCCACTGGCTCGGGTGGGTGCCGATTTGTCGGTACGCTTTCAACCAGTCAAACAATGCCATCTGTAGGGGAACTGATGCGTTTGCAATGTGACAGGCAACCTTTTCAAACTTGTCCCAGGTCGTACGAAAATCTTCTTTATTCACAAAAGAATTTACGCTGGGGATATCCGGGTTGTTCTTTGGAAAGGAGAGGTCGTTGATGGGGCGGAAAGAACCATTGCCGTTCATAACTGCGCCCAGTGGACTGGAACAAAAAAATTTGTAACATGTTGACATTTCTTCTTTCGTATAAGGTCCATACATGCGTCCCGCTTCCAGTTCTTGCTTGAAGTTCTTCTCGATGTCTTCCTTGGCTGATAAGGCGGACTGGTGGTTGGGAGGGCAGAAATTATCTAAACCGTGGATAGTATGATCCGGTATTCCTTGATGGAAGCCCTGTTGAAAGCCGTCAAGAATAAACTGTAGTCGTGGTAGGAGATGGTGTTTCTCTAATGCTACCCTCCATGCGTGAATCTTCATATCACACTTGATGCCTTTTGGCCATTTCGTTGTTGAGTCTTTCTGTTCATGGACTTCATCCCGTTGGGGGCTGTCCTTGTTTCTGTTTCTTTCTGCTTCCAATCTGGATTGGATGGGAGGGCAACGCGAGTTATTACGTGAGTTAGACTATTATGTCATGAATTACTGATGCATGTAAAATAGGGTTTTGTTAAAACTTAATACAAAGAAAAAACATAAACGAGTGTGGGTAGGTGTTGTTTCTTGTGGTCAGGGGTACATAGGTTGTGAAATGAGTCTGAGGATTTGAATAAAAAAAAAAGTTAGATGAAATAATAATAAATGTCTACATAAGAAGTGAAAGAATTAGAAATCGTATAGTTATATGATTATAAAGGTCATTGTCTATCTTGCTTACTTGGAAAGGGATTCTAAATATTATGTCTGAGTAAAGAGGAAGGATTTGAAGAGAAGGATTTAAAGAAAAAAGGATTTCAAGAGAGGAAATGGGGTTTGTAGTCCATTACCAGCTGTCGTAACTTACCCGTTGTTTCGGCATTGTCCGAATCCTCCTCTACCTCCTCGCCAGTTACCTCTCCCTCCTCAGGATGGGAATTTGTTTGCTGCCATTGGGGCTGCAATCGGCAAGGGTTGTCTTTCTGTATACGACAAAGGGTTTGGAGGAAGTGCATGGTTTGGTGGTTGATGTTGAGTTGGGTTTGAAATATAAGAAGGAATCGTGTAGTTTAGGCCGTGTTTGTTTCGTTGGCCTCTTCTTTTCTTAAATTGATGAGGATCTATGTTTGAAGCCTCTCTTTTGTTTGAGCTGAGGTTGGTGCTATTGTTTCTGTTGATCAAACACTTTCAAGGTGTTAGAATAAACTGAGGGTAATTGTCTCAAATTTTGTTTTTACTTGCCTGTACAAGCCTGTCTCAGGATGTTTGAATTCGAGGCGTCCTCCCTTCGCGTGAGGGTTAGCGTCTCCTCCGTTTGCTTCTCCAAAGCGTAAGGACTTCTCTTTTGCCTGATTCTCATATTTCTGGACATGAATTCCTATGTCTTTCATCAATCCGTTGTCTCCTCTTTTTACAAAGGTTTGTGATCTACATAAGATGTCGTAGTGCAAGGCAGTCATCCAACATTCGGTCGAACGTCTGGTATACCACGGTATTACTTTTGTCAGTTAGTTATCTGATCTTCTTACAGGTAGTAAGGGACATATTCTGTACTGACTTTATGTTTTTCACGTTCTCTATGTGAAGTTTCAGCCTCTTTGCTAGAGGAGCTTGTCCGTAGTAGCCGGCTAAGTATCTTCTAAAGAGACTCATACATTTGGACCATTCGCCAAATGATAACGTGTACTCGGAAGGGGCTTCGAGTCCTTTGTTGGATTTTACCTTAGATGAAGAAGAAGTGCTGTGGTTTTGATTGTGTTCTTCATTGTCTAGTCGAGCAAAGGTTTGGTTGAAGACTGTCAATGGGATGGATGTGTGTAGGGTCGTCATCTGTTCGGCCCAGAAGGGTTGGAGTGGAACTAGATCACCGGTTGGTGCTGATCCAATCTCTATCTCTATCGTTCCTTTTGCTTTCTTCTTTTTCGACTTTTTCGACTTCTTGGATTTCGACTTATTCTTTGACTTTTTGTCTGACTGCCTAGCTCTCGTCTTTCACAATTCTTCTTCTTTAGCTTTCTCTTTTGCGAGTTTCAGTTTCTGTTCTAACTGTTTGATATTCAACTTGTTTTCTAGACAAGGAATGAGGAAAAAATCAATCGGAAAATACATATGTTAGTTATGCAAACTATCGATGTTGGGAGGATTATGCGAGATTAACTCTAGCTAGGATGACTATTGTCTAGTTTGTGAGTTCTGGTTCGATTTTTGAATGCGAGCTTGGCTCAAGCATTGGAGATAGGATAAATGGGGATGGGTGTGTTTAATGGGAAGAATTCTAAGAAGGGGATTTTTATGAGATGAGGTTCTAGAAAGAGGATATGACTAATGTCTCGACATTCTCTAAGTCTTTACGACTCCATTATTCTAATGGGTAAGGGAATTTTTGGGAAGGATTGTATACCGTCTGGGCTTACTTTTATTCTTCTTCCTGCTTCTTAACTCCCTCTTCGACTTCTTCTCTTCTTCTGATTCACTATCACTTTCTGAATTAGACTCTGAGCCTGAGGACAGTTCTTCGTCTGACGTTTCTGACGAAGTTGAAGAATCGGATGGGCTGGAACTAGATGAGTCAGAACCACTTGGTGAGTTGTCTATGAAGTCTGAGTCGGGCGAGTCGTCTGAAGAATCTTCTGATTGATTTCCAGAATCGGTTCTGATGGTCGAACCGTTTGATTCGCTTTCGGATTCGTCTTGTTCGTACGACACTTCGGGTTCGATTGCTCCGTCTTGATTCTGATCTTCTTGATCTTCTTCGTTGTTGTCACAGGGGCCAAAATTGATGCTCACAACTATGTGAGCGTTGTAGACTTTCCTGAAGTCTCCAAAAAAGATTCATTTTGTTTCAGATCCATTCAATTCATGAGTTTGGTAGTGTTCAGGCAATCAGACTGTTTTGCTCAGATTTTGCTTGGCGTTGCTGGAGAATGCTCATTTTCATCTTGGGTGAGCATTCTGTGGGCTCAGTCTCTGAGATGAGTATTCAGGATCCACTCATGAGGCATACCCAGAACAGCTCAGAACCTCTTTAAGATGGAAACAAATTCATTTTTTTCACCACCCTTGCCAATACATGTCAGCACTACACCACAAATTTACCTCTTTTGTTGAAATTTGGTTTGCGGGGTACCCCAGAATCACGGCCGGAACCCGGTTCAAACTCAACGGGGTTTTTAAATTCTTATTTGTTAAACCTCATGCTTTCATATCAATCTCATCGTAATCATCGTGAAAGTCTTACAGCCGTTAAAGGGTTAAACAGTAGAAAATTACAAATTTGTGTTGCACCGAGATTTAATACGGGGGGTTGGAATTTTACACCGACCCATTTACACCGGATTTTCCGGTGTAAAATTAAAAAAAACCCATTAAGTGCAATTTTACACCGTATCCAATTTTTTTCAGTCAGTGTAAATAAATTAAGTGTAAAGGATACGGTGTAAAAGTCATGTACCCGGGGTACACATTTATTTTTACACCGGACTTTTTACACCGGAACATACGGTGCAAAAACATCAGGTGTAAAAATAAATATATGCCGGGTAAGCACATTTTTACACCGATCCAACCTTTACACCGAGATATTCGGTGTAAAGCACTAAGTGGAAAAGTCAATTTATACTGTTACAAAGTATAAATTTACACCACATCAATTTACACCGGGTCCAAAACTTGAAAGAAGTCACTCTCATGTGAAAATATTCACACCTGTCGCGCCCAATGACCATGATTAATTACACAAATACAAAGATGACAATGAGGAAACTAGGAAAAGATGAAAATATGAAAAGAAATTGACCATCATTATGATTACAATTATGATGAGAACTTGAAAGAAAAAAAAAGGAAATAAGTAGTGACCATTATTATTTACAAATAAGAATTAAAAAAGAAAAAAGAGAAAACAGAAAATATAACATAACCAATCATAAGTCAAAATAAAATTCCAAAAGAAAGAATAGAAAAATTAGAGATAGAGAAAAGTAACAGAAATTCGTACCAAAAAAATATGGCAGAGATAAATATAATTATATCTGAGGACTGAAAAAGAAAAGATAGACAAACAGAAGGAATGGAAAGACTGACAAGGAAGGGATAGAAAGATTAAAAAGGAGAATACAATACACAGAGACAAGAATCAAAAAAGGAGGTAAATAAAAAAAGAAATAGAAAACATGATCAAACCTTTTTTACCCCACGTTTTGCTCTGACAGCTCTGGCTCTGCCAGCCTTAGTGGTGGGTTGCCCGGCTTGATCATCTTCCCCTGCTGGTTGTGACTTTTGGGACCTTTTTGCTGATTAGAAAAAGAAAAGTAGTAAGTAAAGGAATGCATGATGACTTTTTTAACTATAAACTTACGCTTCTTAACCAAAGTCTCTTTGTTGTTTAGATCAGCTCCTCCTTCTCCATCACCAGCTAGTTTTTCCGTTGATGGTATACGTGGCGCTAACTTGAGCTTGATCTTGAAAGATTGGGTAGGAGGCTGATTGTCGTGGTTGTTGTTATGATGATTTTCCACCATTTCCTCCTGATGTTCTTCCGGAACTTCCTCCTGATGTTCTTGCACAACTTCAACAACCTCTTCAAGAGAGGGAAGGCCACCACCTACAGGAAATCCCTCCAAAGGCATCGTGAAAGGTATAAGGGTGTGTTTTTGTGGAAATTCCTTCATCAAATCACGTATTGATGAGGCAATACGAGAGCGCTCGTGATTAAAAGGGATTCGTGAATAACAAAGCCAGCTGGTTTGTGCATCACACCCACCAATTGAGGTGATATTGCGGCTCAACAATTGAGCAAAGCCACCGTTCTGAAGTTCGTCGTAATGCCAAACACCCAAAATTCCTTCTACATCACGCACTACCTTGCACCAGTAGTGTAAGCCACCCCAATACCCGCGTGTCATCAAGCAATACTCCACATCACCTACTATAATTCTTGATGGCCAGTTAGTATTATTCTGGAAATCCGCACGTGCAGATGCTTCCAAACCAGCTATCCCTTCCAGAAGGAAATATAGGTGCAAAGGCGCCAATTTTGGGTTGCTAGTGAGATCAATCTTGACATTCTCTACGAGTGTGGTGAGATTCTGAGGCGGTGAAGCTTGAATTACGCAATCGGATTCGTCCTCGTTGTTGTCCTCGGGATGGCACTTGCGGCATACGAGTCTACTGTCCGTAGAAAGGCCTTCAGACATTAACAGATCAATCATCAAGCCTACTTCATCGTAAGAAAGACCAGCGTCGGTGAAGTTGTAAGGAAACAAAGCCTGGCAAGCTCTTGTTTTACTTTCAACTCTAGTATGTTTGGCGTCGGCAGGACAGATGTGAGCCTTAATAAATGGAACTTCAAACAAAGGCCTAAGAGAATGTCGACCAGGGCGTAGGAGCCTTTCCATGAACTGGTCAGCTGATGCCATTTCGTCCGGTTGATAGGATGTCGGGGTTCGAAGAGTGTTGTGTAGGAGATTCTGGTGAGATGAGAGGAGCCTGCCAAGGTTCTTTCCTTGGAGTTGCGCAGTACATCTTTTAGTGAGATGCTGATATAGTACATGGACCAGTCCGCTGCCATTGACAGAACCGAAATCGCTCCATAAAGGCCCAAATAGAGCATATAGAGACTCAAGGGTTGAGCTCTGCCAACATCTGTTGGTAGTACCTGGTCGTGTACCTTTAGTATACGACTGATAGGTGGTTAAAGCTGCTCGATTGACGTTTTGAGAGCCTCTGGGACGTCCTGGAGTGCGGGTTGACGCCTTAGTCTTTTTGGTATTACCAAGAAGTTCGTCGGTGGTGTCGGGAGGCCGGCCGTCGTTCTTGAAATAGCGGCGTTTGGTGGGCTTAGGCATTCCTAATCCTTTAACGAGTTCCTCCCAATTCTTCTGTGACGATCCGTAGGCGATGGAAACCCCTTTTTGAGCATTTTGATAATCTCTTTCTAGACTTTGGACAAAGGCTAGTAATTGAATGAATCCCGCGATGATGCTGCATTTGCCTTTCCTGATATATTGATACATTTAATGAATCAATATGAAATCTTCTTCAGATAATGTAATAATAAAAATTTAAAGTATAGTGAGGTGACTTACGACAACAAGTAATAGACCCTGTGCATAGATTCTTGACCGTTTGTGGTTGAGTGTAATTTTTTTTTGATCTCTTTGACTGTTAATAATTTTTCTCCATCACTTTTGTTGTCAGATAATGGTGGATCGTCCAAAGGCATCCTCTTCCTACCAGGAAAAAGCATGGCTTGGGTATCGGCGGTGCACCACCAATCAAGCCACTTTTTTGCATTCGGAAATTCCAAGAAGAGCTTTGCAAATTTCATTTCGAGAGTATTACCAGGTGTATCGGGTTTGAGCAAAGCCTTGCATTTGGCTTCCCAATCGTCCTGAATGAATACAACTCAAACATCAGCCTGGTGTGATAGTGAGCAAAGGTTTATATTGCTTACCTTCAAGTCAAAACGCACAATGCTTCGATTTTTCTTGAGGCGGGTGACGGCCTGGGAAAAATGTTGACTGCAGCCGTGTAGTTTGGATAGTGCGACGTCTCGATCCACGTTAAAGACCTCCATGTAAGCACTCATAAGTCCCACTTTCTGAGCCTGGGAGAAGTCCACGATTTGTTCAGTTAAGTTGTTCTTCTGCTCGTCCGACTTTGCTGTATCTTTAATCTGTTGTAATAAAGTCTTAAAATGAGATTTGTAATGATCCTTGGAGAGGCCATTCATCCACGTGAGAAGTACTGGTACGAAGCGTTCGATTTTTTCACAATACATTGAAGTTGTCATCAGATAACCGTGATTGAAAAACCTATAGGTTACGTCGGATAGAAGGCCACCTTCGTAAGATACACCATTCTCCTCATGAACTAGCACTTCTGACATCCATTTGCTTTGGAAAGAAATATGTATGTCTTCGACTTTTAGGGATTCAGACACTATTCGCATGCCATTACTAAAAAGACAGGGTCAGCCAAAAGAAAATAAACCAGAAATTAAATCATGGGCACGTACGTGGTCCAATGAATTAACTGAAGGAGCCATCTATCGCCCCCGTCTTTGTCCTTTGAATCCGGCATCAATCCAGCTTCCACCAGAAATAATCGTCGCAAGTACCCAAGGCGGTCCGCATTTCCAAATGAAGGATGTACATCCACCACAGTTCGGATAGGATCAGTGCCTGCATGAGCGCGGCCAACCTAAATGTGAACATTGAGTCAGAATGATGATTTTATCTTATACAAAAAATTGTTGATATACATTACCTTTAATCCCAAAGGTCCTGTCTTGGGGTCATTGACGACCATGTCCTTCAGCTGGCTCTTAGACATAGGATCCGCCTTTTTCGCCTCAGGCCAAACATGCCGGTGATCACCTTGATGTTGCAGTATACGCCACGGGTTTTCTGTCTTCTCTTCGTCAAATTGACATCGCGCAGAGCACTCGATGTGCACCTGAAGCCCTTCACAGCTACTGATAGGGCATGGTTCGCACCTGGCAGATCCAAAATCAATATGAGAAACATAAGTATTGGAATGATTATACTTATGTCAAATAAGCAAATCACAACTTACCGATTTAAGAGTTTTTCAATCATTTTGTGGCCGGTTGGAGGTGAACCAGCAAAAGGGCAACCAGTGTTGGAACATTTCATCACCCTGAGGCAGGTGAATCATAAGATTTTCCAATATTTATGAGAGGAATCGGTCTTCATCGTGTGCGTCCAACCGACGAATCCGAAGTTCTTCACCTTTTCATCAGGTGGGCATACAAAAACCGTATCTCCATTGGGGTACTTAGGATACCCTTGTGCATCGACTACAGAACCAAAGTCGATAAAGGTGGTATGCTGGGATTTATCAGTTATCAGCTGGAGTTGTGGCCGTTTGACCAGGTGGGTTACATTTTCAGAATGAGTTTCTGAGATGGCATCGTCTGGAATTGAATTTGATGAGCGGCGCTTCCTCTTCCTGCCCTTCTTCTTTGATTTTGTCTGTTCTTGGCGATAAGAAAGATCTTCGGCTTCGTTATCAATTGGTGAAGGGATTTGATGATGCTTCTTCTTGGATTTCTTAGAATTAAGAGGTGATCCAGATTCTGATCTTTCGAATTGACTTCTTTCGAGTTGATTTTGTTTTTCCTTTGAATTCTTCGATTTCTTCTTACTTTTTGACTTTTTCACAATCTTGGTCTTCAAACTTGGCGTAGGGGAATCGGAGTCTGTCATGGTGACAAGGTCTGAGCTCGATAACGTGATACCTGAGCTAGAAGGACCGATTTGGCTAGATCTGAGAGGAGTCGATGGAATGAAATTAAGCCGACGATGAGGAGTCGATGGAATGACACTCGATGGTCTATCTTTTGTAGGATCAAGATGATTCGAGGGTGACAGATTATCTGTCAAATGACCTCCTTTCAAACTAGACAGGTCACATCCTTCCTCTCCAGCGGAGAGGGAATGTACTTGGCCCATCATTGGGTCACAGAAAGAATAATGTGTTGAAAAGATGACGAAATGGGAATGAAAGTATTTGCAACTTGTCAAATACGAGTGAGAGTGACCTTTAAAGTCTAAAGTCCTCGCTTGGAAGTCAACCATCAAGAAGCCCTTCTTCCACTCTCACGGATGATATGTGGGTATCTTGTTTGTTTGGACGCAAGAGTTTATATCTTTCGATCACTTGCATGTATTTGCGTCTGATATTTACGATATCAGGTAGGTATTTTCATGCGATGTTAGTTGATGAATCGGTGTAATAAGTGTCGGTGTAAAACTCAACTTCAAGCGTGAGGTTTGGGATTTTTACATTGTACCCTTTTACACCGGAAAATGTGGTGTAATGGGGTTCGGTGTAAAAGTCGAGATTACCAGGGTACCCGGGATTTTTACACCGGACCACTTTACACCGCATTATCCGGTGTAAAAATAAATATGTACCCCGGGTACATTACTTTTACACCGTATCGATTACACTTAATTTATTTACACTGTCTCAAAAAAATTGGATACGGTGTAAAATTGCACTTAATGGGTTTTTTTTTTAATTTTACACCGGATGGACTTTACACCGGATAATCCGGTGTCCACTTTTTCACTAGGTAATTCCTATAGTGTGTACACATTTGATAAAGAATTAGATAATTTACCTTTTTATTATCTAATTTTTATCTAGATAGCCCCGGCTATTACGCCCCGGGCTATCAGTGTTCGGGTTTTGCTTAGAAAAACCCCTTTTATTCTTTGAAACCTTTTATGGAAAAGTTTCAAAGAATTACTGAAAGAGTATAATCGATACAAGTCTACCAAGTTATCGAAGACATTTCCGATAACTTGAAGATCGTTAAGACTAATGGATAGCATAATAGATTCTTTCCAGCATTAGCTGATGTAAATCTATTAGCTAAATGCTTCTCGTATTTAATCAGATAATTCTATTTATCATTATTAAGAAGTACGTGAAGAGTCATAAGACTTGTATATGATTGACTCGGGGGTCTAAGAACACACTAGAGGGGTGAATAAATGTTTGATTCAAGTATAGAATTGAGAATTCTGGTTTAGTTTTAATATACCATACCATTACCAGTAATTCTCTGGTATATCAAATCTGTTTACGGAAATCATATTGATCGAATTCCTTAACTTATTTGTTTTTGCATGGGAGGGTGGGACGGCATAAAAAATTGGTAATAGGAATCTTAGAAGATCTAATCAAAAGATTAATAATTGATTTGTCCAGAAGTTGAATTCTTAATTTTCGATAGATGTTCTAGCAGTGAAAAAGGATTTAAGAATATAATAAGATAATATTTTTAAATAGATAAGCGGATGAGGGACAATGGTAATTGATCTTATCTTGCTCTCTATATAATCCAGACATGTTAATTGTGAGATTAGCATGGCATTGATTCCCAGATAGTTTTTGTAACTAGTCTAGACCCTTATTCTTATCATGGTCACAATCTCGATGAAATTATAATTGATGGTCTCGTAGGATTGGACTAGCTAAACTATTAGGATTAAAAACTGGATTATATTTTAAAGTACATTTTAAACGACATTACTCGTAGTCGTGGACACCGCCCACCTACGTCGTACCTCCTCCGGAAAACTATCATCCACTTTTTCACTAGGTAATTCCTATAGTGTGTACACGTTTGATAAAGAATTAGATAATTTACCTTTTTATTATCTAATTTTTATCTAGATAGCCCCGGCTATTACGCCCCGGGCTATCAGTGTTCGGGTTTTGCTTAGAAAAACCCCTTTTATTCTTTGAAACCTTTTATGGAAAAGTTTCAAAGAATTACTGAAAGAGTATAATCGATACAAGTCTACCAAGTTATCGAAGACATTTCCGATAACTTGAAGATCGTTAAGACTAATGGATAGCATAATAGATTCTTTCCAGCATTAGCTGATGTAAATCTATTAGCTAAATGCTTCTCGTATTTAATCAGATAATTCTATTTATCATTATTAAGAAGTACGTGAAGAGTCATAAGACTTGTATATGATTGACTCGGGGGTCTAAGAACACACTAGAGGGGTGAATAAATGTTTGATTCAAGTATAGAATTGAGAATTCTGGTTTAGTTTTAATATACCTCTACTCGGGTTGAAAGCCTGAGCCTCTAAAACGAAACCCCAATTCTTTCATCCCGATGTGCATCCTGACTTTGTTGACCCACATAAAGTCCTTCTTTCATCAATCGTGTAATTTATATTTGTTTAATTCTATCAACAAGCTTTTAGTCTTAATCAATTCTTCATGTGAGTAGGACTTTATATAAAATTTCCACGAGTCGGATTTCCACCTTCCAATCTGACATATCTCTTCTATTGGGATTCCTAAGGCGAATCTTAGTGAAGCTCCTCCTACTCTAAAGGAGTGCCCCGTTAACCCTTTATGACCACTTTCTTCCCATATCTGTTGGCAAGTCGTCATAATCATCTCTTTCGTTAGGAGTATTCTAGCTGAATTTTCTACGTAACTAAATAGAGGATCTTCTGTACTTGAAGTTCTTTCTAATCTCCTTCTTAGCGCGGCCACTGGACATAAAAATGTGGTTCAAACGTTTTACTTGTAGAATTTGGATTTCACCTGGCATCGCTGTTTTTGCACCTCCTAAAGAAATAAAACCTTCTTCTGCTTCATTCTCCCCAATTATTGTTGCATCTGTTGCCTTTATAATCTCTGTCGAGTCTCTTTTGTTCCCTGTCATTTCTCCTAGTCTTGCTAAGCTCCAGAATGTACATAAGATTGTATCTAGGATTGCTAGATGTTTCTCTCCTTTGTTAATTAATTTTGGAATTAAATCTAATAGATGTTCTAAGTGAACTGGCCTCTTTTCCATCGTTTTTGGCATCGAAACGTCGATTTTCTTTGATGCCTTCAAACTCAATCTTATTATTTCTTCTTTTACTTTGGGGAAGTCTTCATTATGATATAAGTGCCACGCTTTAAGACCGTAAAGATATTTCTCCAGAGTTTGTGCCATTATGTCTTCTTTCTTCGGGCCTTTATTCGTCCTTCCGGCCCAAACGCAGAATTCATAAATCTCTTCTTTCGATGCTGGTAAATTTAAAGGATCCATAATTTGTTCTCTTCTGAATTTCAAAAATTTTCTTACTGCGCCGTTGTAGCTAATGAGTGTGTTCCATTTCCAACCGTTTAAGATGTGTTGTTGAAAATTGTTGAAATAAATTTTCTCGTCTCCTCTGCTCAAAAATTGTGAAATTCCTTTGAGATTTTTGAGTTCTTCCGGTGAAATCATTTTAAAAAACTTAGCTACTCCGTAATTTCTTTCAACAAAATTTCAGTAATTGGATCATTTCGTTTTCCCATCAAAAAGGGTTCAAAAGAGAAAATCTTTCTTGAAACTTCTCTCCCCTTGTTTCATTTGGGTTCGAAAGAAAAAAATTTTCTTGAAACATCTTCCCCTTGTTCTACTTGCAATTTAGCATGAATTGAACGTTTGTATGATACATCTTCGATTTACATCATGATTTTAATATTCACAACACTCTTGGTACATCTTCACATATTAAACGTTACAACGGGGAATTTACAAATGATGGGGATTTTATCAGCATATGACCTCTGCGTTTATCACGCTCCTGCGTTCATGTGCAATCAAGACCTGGAAATTGCCTTTGCAATGTATCATCCTTTCCATCTTGCACTTCTTTCTGAGTGAAACAATTCACTAAGTCTGATGGTAAAGAGGTCCACATTCTATCAGCTTCATCCTTATCGTGTTCATCGTCTTCACCTCTCGATATATCATCAGCAAGATTTCTTTTCGATACGACCCTTTTTGCTACTAGATCCATTTCACATGATATCAAAATCTCTTGAATCTTTCTCCATTCTCTGTTTACTTCTAGGTCATTCGATCTCCTATTAATTATCGCATTTTGACTGGTGGTGTTGTCCGTCCATACAATCACAGATTTACCTCTATAATTTCCGTGAGATACGATATGCCAAAGACCTACTCTTATTGCGGCTGTCTCTAACCATGCAATCCCCCTTTTTGTAGTTCCGGAATCTTCCCAACCAGGTCTAAGTTTCGTTTGGAACCACTTCTTTCCTAATAATACTCCGATACCGTAAGATGGTGATGCATCGCCTACCCATCCTATATCTATTGGGTCCGCGTACCTAATCAATCTAGTATGTTCGAATTTCGATAACATTCCTTTCCAATGTAAAAGGTCCATCTTTACATCTTGAGGTAAAAGTTGAGTTGCGTGTTTGAAATGCCAACTTTTCTTCCATCTGTACAAGGAAGTCATGTAGCACTTCAACTGTGGCAACATCAGTGTTACGTGGACCAGTCTTCCTGTTAGAATTTCTACTTCGTTGAAGGAAAATTTCTTATTAGCTTCTAGGGCGTCTACTATCTGTGATTTTCTCTGGTTAAGCTTTTCTTCTGGTAGTCGTACAGTCTTCGTCACCCCGTTCCATATAAATCCTATGAACTTTTGTTCTTCTTTGAAGCCTGACATTTTCTCTATGTTCGTGATTACTCCTAAT